AAATAAATAACTAAATAAATAAATAAATAAATAAATAAATAAAATTAATATAAAACTACTATGAGATTTATGTAAACATCCAATTTAAAAGCAGTTTATGTTTTCATCAGTTAAATGTGCTTCATATACATATACAAATAAACATATTGCACAAAAGCTTATACTTCTATTTCACAGCAAAGCAACACTTTTTCCAAGTAAATTTGCAAAGAAGCAACACTTTGCCACTGCTAAGGGAGCGGTACGAGAGAGACAACTGTCAGTTTATCGAACCTTGTATTATTGAATCTCAGTATATCCAGTAAAAAAACTGTGGTGAAGTCCTTTATGGGGATAAAGTTTCCAGAGGTGAAATTTTAGGTAGCAAACAATTTCTTACACGCATGGTTGCTTTTCAGCACTCATGAAAGAAACTTAAGAAATATTTGAGAAAAAAATTCATTTTTGAAAAAAATACTATATAATGTATGTACTCTGGTTAATAATATCAAAAAATGTATTAGAACCACCGTTTAATGTTATATTTGATACAAATTAATATTGCTGCCCCGAACGTTCTGCCCATTACCTCTGAATAATAGAGTTACTTAAAATTACATCCCTGGTCCTTGTTCATTCTGTATCGCATCGTGGTGAATTCACATTTCTCAGGAATTTGACTACAAAACAAAACAAAGTGAGTATTTTGTTTGCTATTTTTTTTTTGATTTCTATTGTTTAATGTAAATTTATGTCTTTTAGGATATGTTGAGGCAACGAAGAACGCGCAGTATGAAAATGAGTTAAAAAAAGTCGGTAGGCGCCACGTCGAACATATGTGTGTGACATACTAATTAGTTAAAAACTGCCTGTTTCTAAGCAGAAAATATTACCAGCACTATCCTAAATTCCAATTTTGACGTCTCTGATGAGATTTAAAAAAAAAATGCTGTGGCCCCAGAACATCTTATTTGCTGAAAGTGCCTTGGCAGTCAATGTGTTAAACCATCTTTCAACGTAGTGATTCTTCTTGCGTCAGCCACCGGATGGTGTTGAGCTTGAATGGCCACTGGAAGTTGGAGGCTTTCTTGAAGTGGGATCCAACAGTGAATATTTCGTGCGCCAAATAATCAACGCAATGAATATCATGCTCTTTTAGCAATTTGCGTTCGATCACAAAGTTGTCCGAGATTAGGACACGTTGATGGTTGTGCTTGACAATTCCACGTTTGTAGATCAATTCACGAACTGATTTAAGATTTGGATAACCCCATGTGATATAGGGTTCGGCAATGCGTAGCGTTTTAATGGTTCAATTTGATAAGCAAACCGTTCTTAATGTGGCGAGAACGGAACAGTAAAACTTAACGCACTTTTGGTGCAATTGCGGATACAGACCACAAAAGCCGCGCTTCTTTTCCAGGCGGCGCAACTTATTCTCACGACGGATATTTTGCTTGATATTTCTCAGCATGCACCAAGTTTTCACGTTTGCCGAGTGCAATCACAGCAGAGCGCTTTAGTTTACGCTTGATCAAGGTAGCACGTTTGCTGACCTGCTTCTTGCTGAACTACAGCTACGACTCGGGGACAGCAGGCAGCTTCCAGGAAGGTTGTTTGCCCTTTGCTTCGGGCTTCTTACCGGCCGGGGTGGTAGTCATCTTAACTTGTAACTTAGCACGTTGAGAAGGCGAAAAAAAGTCCGCCAAATGTTTGGAGCACATCTTAAATAGCGCCACTCGATTTATAACATTTCCATTAAACGCAATTTCATTTAATTAAATACCTTGTTAATACATAGATATGCTGCAACCTGGCACTTACTTTCACAAATTCCATCCTGCTTATCGGCATAATTTTCCAAATATGCCTCAGGGCCATGGCGGACATATATGCACGACAAAAACATTGGCTAAACATCAAAATACATCGTCGTCATACAAGCTCTACTTCGTTTTGCAAAAACAAAACAATTGGGAGTATGTTGTTTTTGCAAACAAACACCAAACAACGTTATATGACGACAATGTATTTTGATGTTTGAATCCGTTATTTTTGCAAACAGAAACAAGTCAAAGCTTATTACATGCTGAGTAAACAAAAAATAATAAATAAAAATAATATGTAAAAAATTTTTTGTTACTGCAATAAAATGAATTTAATTTTTTTTTCAAAACCAATTTTTTCCAATTGTTTTTTGAGCTGCGCCGAAGCCACTATAACAGAAATTTCATGGGAAGCCATATATTTTATTATTGCAATAAAATCATATTTATCCTCAATCGTTGCTGTGTGACATGGCGAGAGAGAATAATAGTCGTGTCGGACATATGTGTCCGACGTGGCGTAAACCGCATAGTACAGTGTCACACATATATGGCCGACGTGGCAGTCAATGTGTTAAAGAAATTTTTTGCTGTACAAGGTGGAGTATTTTTATTTCAAAAATATATAATAAATAAATATAGAAAATGTGTTTTTTTTTTAACTTTCTGAAGGTATAAACCGCAAATACACCAAAATGGAAAGCAGCTTATTTTCGCAATTCCTTGAATAATGTCGAAATTCCATTGCCGTTTCTATAGGCCATTTCAAAAGGCTCCAATCCAAAAATTTAATTATTTGTTTTGGTTTTCCAGCTCTTTAATGATGCGCGCAGGGTTGCATTTACCGTCTATGAAAATATTTCATGATGCGTTCCAAACCTAGCTCCGAGCAACTAAAAGTTGGTTGAGCTTAAGTGAAATAGTTTTTTATTAAATATTTATTTCTGGTACTTATTAAAAAAAATCTGATCAGTATTAATGTATGAAATGAAGTAAATAAAAATTTACGAATACATTTCTTGAATATTTTGTCATAGAGCCATTATTAAATACAGACATAACTTTGTCGGGCGTTGGTCCTGATGTATATAGAATTAATCCGTTAGAGAGAGATAAAATACAAGCTCAACGCGCTAATTTAGGTATACTTGTATGTATATACCTGTACTCGTCTGGCATATACTAGAACTACGAAAATAATGACAATTATAATTTATTTAGATGCATTTTTTAGCTAAATGCTATATCGTCGTCTGGATAAAAGATTGTTACAAGTTACTTTCGGTCACTCACGATTGAAGTTTGGAATGCAATTTCTCAGAAACCCGACCACAGATTTTCTCCAAAGTGTCGGAGAATGCAATGTTGCAAGATTCTTAAATTATCTTATTTTTTTAGTTTAGTGTCAACCATTTATGAGTTTAATAAAATTTTGTCGTATACGACATTTGTCAAAAAATTTGCAAACAGTTTTAATTATATACGCCAAAATGTGATAACAATTTTTTATAAATTAACAATACTTTTTACAACCGATTTACATGATTCAAGTACTTGAAAGCAATTCATGCTCATTCTCTTTTGTGTTTTCTATTTGCTTTTACATGTTTCAATTCTGTTGAATTCAAGTGTTTGGTGCTTTAAATGGGAAGCAACGAAAATGCCAAAAGCAAAGCAAGAAAGATGAAACGACTTGACGGTACAGACGCATGTGTACTCGTCCCTTTTCTTCTCACCCCCTCTATTCCGCATGCGAGCAGAATTGAATTCAATACTTGAACTGTGTAAAAGCAGTCTTACTAATCAGCCTAATCGCGAGTTTCGCGCTAACGAAATTTCGCCAACAATTTTTTCATCCACCTGTAGTGAATACACGCAAACGAAAAATAAAAAAGTGACCCGGTTCTAGAAAATGAAACTCGTGATAAGGCTGAATATGTCGGAAACTAAAGAAGAACAGATAACTATATTTG